TTTTTTCCGCTCTTACTACTCTGCTTGTCAGTTTTAGGGCCAATATCAGCTTCTTTCTTTATTTCTTTTTTCTTTTTTTAGTTTTTGCTATAAGGCATTGTGGACTCACTAGAGGGAAACAGAGAAAGAGGGAGGGAAACTGAGAAATCACCCACTGAGGGGATGGCCACCCCACAATCCCTTCTCCTTCATTCTCTTCTCTGGATTTTGGACACACACACATCTGGCGAGTTTTCCAAGCTGCCAGGTCCAGGACTCAAACTACACAGTTGGCCCTGTGGGATCTAGCTGCCTTAAGCTCCAAGCCACCTCCTGGCCCAGTTGTTTTATTCTTTAATTGCTAAGGCCTTTAGTATGTCTTAATATCTAGTAGTCAGGCCAGCCAGTGTTATGGTGGTTAAGGCAGCTGGATCTCACATGACTGACTTTGCGGTTGGAGTCCCAGACCCGGTGGCTTGAGAAACACGCTGGGCATGTGTGCATGCATACCCAAAATCTAGAGAAGAAAATGGAGGAGAAAGAACTGTGGCATGGCCATCCCCACTGAGGGGTGATTTCTCACATTACCTATCTTTATCTCTGTCTCTCTCCAGTAACCATAGGTACCTTACAGCAAAACTAAAATAAAAAAAAAATCTAGTGGGCTGGTCCCCACATTAACTCTTCCCTTTTTTTGAGAGAAGTTTTTGCTATAGGATGCGTGCGCTCACCAGAGTGACAGAGACAGAGAGGCAGAAAGCTAGAAATCACCCTTGGGACCAGCAGTTAGCGTAACGGCTATGTCGCTGGACTCCCATGTAGCCGACCGTGGTTCACGTCCTGGACCCAGTGGTTTAAAACTCATGCTGGGTGTGTGTGCCTGCGTGCCCAAGATCCCAAGAGGAGAATGGAGGAGAAGGGATTGTGGCATGGCCATCCCCCCTGGGGGGTGATTTCTTGCTTTCTGTCTCTCTCTGTCTGTCTGGTGAGCGCATGCACCCTATAGCAAAAACCTCTCCAGAAAAAAGAAAGAAAGAAAGAAAACACCCCTTAGGGGGTAGCCACGCCACAATCCATTCTTCTCTGTTCTCCTCCTGGGATCTTGGGTACACAGGCACATGTGCCTGGCATGAGTTTGCAGCCACCAGTTCTGGAACTCAAACCACTGTCAGCCATGTGGGAGTCCAGGGGAATAACTGCTGTACTATCTGTTGGTCCCTTAACTCTTCCTTTTGAAGATTATCATAGCTGTCCATGATCCTTTAGTATTCTAAAATTTTTAATAAAGATTTTTGGGACCAGCAATTAGCCTAATGGCTATGTCACTGGATTCTCTTGTAGTCAACCACGGTTTGCGTCCTGGACCCGGTGGCTTAAAAAACTCACACCAGGTGCGTGTGCGTGCGTGCCCAAAATCCCGAGAGGAGAATGGAGGAGAAAGGATTGAGGCATGGCCATCCCCCTTGGGGTGTGATTTCTTGCTTTCTATCTCTGTTTCCCTCTGTCTGTCTGGTGATCGCATGTGTCCTATAACAAAAACCTCTCCAAAAAAAAAGATTTTATATATTATTATTATTGTTAATTTTTAGAGAAATTTTTTGCTATAGGGCGTGTGCCAGAGAGAAAGAGACAGAAAGCGAGAAATCACCCCCCTCCCCGAGGGGATGGCCATGCTGCAATCTCTTCTCCTCCATTCTGTTGGGATTTGGGGCATGCACACACATGCATCTGGCATGAGTTTTAAGCTGCCAGGTACGAGACTAGAACCGCAGTCAGTTACGTGGGAGTCCAGCAATGTAACAATTATGCTATCTGCTAGTCCTGATTATTGTTAGTTTTAAATTTGCTGTAGGGCATGTGTGCTCATCAGTGAGAGACAGAGAGAGAGGGAGAGTGAGAAAGCAAGCCGCCAGGTCTGGAACTCAAACCATGGTCGACCATGTGGGAGTCCAGCATCTGAACCACCATGCTACCTGCTGGTCCCAATATTCTAAATTCTAATATAAATGTATTGCAGTTTTAAAAAAAGTAATGGAAATTTTATTTATATTCCATTGACTATACAGATTTGGGGAGAAATAACTTTTTTTAATTGCCAGAGGGTGCATGTGCTC